TTGGAGAGAGAGAGAGAGAGAGAGAGAGAGAGAGAGAGAGAGAGAGAGAGAGTCCCCGTCCTCTGAAAGGAAACAGTGGTCTTTCTTACTGCCCCTGTATGAGCTGCAGCAGGGAGAATCCTGGTGGCAGTGGCCGTGGAAGCCATCACAAGAAAGGGCATAGGTGAGATACATTGGGTGCTGCTGGAAGATGAAGGTGCCAGGGCTTATGGATGTGACAGAGAATGCCAACGCTGCTGAGGACCCGGGGACCTGCACCACTTAGACAGAAGCACACTAACTCAGGCTTCAGCTCCCTCTGTGGCCGGTACCTCTCCACCTGGCAGCCCGGTGCCTTTCAACCTCCCCGTGACCCAGAGTGGCTGCACACTTGGCTGAGCCCTTGGTCAGCCAGAGATTCAAAATGAGTTTGTTCCAAAGAACTGCTCACCGAGGTTGAGACACAGTGTGTATTTCCTTTACTTAGAGAGAAACTTTCCACTCTGACTTTTGACTAGATCTTTGGAGTCACCCTCCTCAACCCCTTCACGTGAGATCCAGCGATTACGCATCTCGTGGACAGGAAGCAGATGGTCCTTGGCTGTTGTTCTACCCAAGTTGGTGATATTTGCTCAGCAAACAGGACTGTGTTCCCTCCCCAGTGCACAGTATATTTAATTCATATGTTGTACAATGCAAGCCCTCGTGCTGTAATTACGCACAGAAAGTCTGGAGACCCCAGGATGCCTGCAGTCAGCTGGTGGCGGGGCAGCCGTGGTGTCCCCGCTCCACTAACACGCTGTGCTTATGTAAGATGTTCTCACTGGGGAAGGCTGGGCGAAGAGCACACGGGAACAGGCTGTACTGGTTTTTGCAAATTCTTGTGAGTCTTAAATGATTTCAATATAAAAAGGGTTTTGTTGGTGTTTTCTTTTTCTAAATATCAAGACAATATTGAAGAGACCATCTAGTACCGTTGTTTCCAGCTTTAATTTTAGCACAGCCTCACCTCTTCCTTGTCCCCACCCTGAGCAGCGCTGGGCACCTCCTGACAAGCTCAGGGCTCTGTAAAATATCACTCAAAACCCTAATCCCACCCATAATGGTCCAGGATCCCGATGAGGAAACTGAGACCCAGAGAAGGCAAACGCATTGCCCACCAGTGGCTGTGGCAGAAATACAGACAGCCTGGAAGGTTTCCGCCCCGGCAGCTTTCTGTGAAGCGTGATGAGTCCCGTTTAGCTAACAAGGTACTTTCTCCCCTCCGACCTGGTGAGATTCCTTCCACTGGATGAGTTTTCATGCTCCTGCCTCCCCCTTCTTCTGTGCAGGCAATAGCATCATCTTGACCTTTAAGTTGGGACCGTGCAAGGCGTAGTCTGGACCACCAAACAGTTTCAAATTCACATGTGGGGCGATTGCCACGGAGTTTATCTGGGAGGGCTAGACACGGAGTTCAGGAAGCAGGACTGAGGAAACATTCCCTGCCCAGCCTCCATTCTAAGCACCAGTGAAGGCTCTAATCACCCCGCTCTCCCAGTGCATCTATTGCAGCCCACACCACTGAAGTATTTTAGAGAAACCTTGGGCATCATGAAGTTTACTTCTATGGCTAATACAAGACAGCTTCTTCTGTTTGTCCAACCCTCATCAGGTTGCAGACCTTTTGCATATATGCTCATATGCTGCGGGAGTTAGCATGAGCACATATGGCCACCATAATTCATAAGCAGGATCCAGGGCCACACACGTACTTTGGATAGTGAAAGGCTCTGGGACTCGGTGCCTCTCCAGACCCATACACAGGAAGCAGAAGAAATGGCTTCCTCTCTTTCCACATCTCCCAGCAGTTAGAACCTGGAGATGCCGCATGGGTGTCGGATGAGTAAGAGTTAGGTTTTCCTGAAAAGTGAGGCCTGTTGCCCGTGTGCCACGTCAACAAAAATCTGTGTGACAGTCAGCTGGCAGGACAGCCTCCCACGGGCTTGCTGCCCCTGCATCCTCCGGAGGGTTCGGAGTGAGCTGCCACTCCTGATTTCCTGTCAGTTGTTGATGCCCCATTTCTGCAGGGGACCTGGCTGCTCTCTTCCCCCCCGGCAGCTTCCTCGCCCTCCACATTGGAGGACACAACCTTCACTGTCAACACGGGTCCAGCTAATTGGTGCTGATGCTGGCCTGATCCTGCAGCATTCTGCCCCACGTCGCAGACATCAGAGAAACTGATCAGCTGTTCTGATGTCGGAGGCTGCTCCTCACTCCATCGTCAGAGCCATTACTAGCTGGGGAAAATACTCCCACAAGGACATGAGATATTTTATAACGCAAGAGGGGCCTTTAGAAGGCCAGAGAGTGGGTTCCTTCAAAAGCATTACTAACCATGAGCCAGTGAGATGACTTAGTGGATAAGGTGCTTGCTCTATGACTCAAGACTGGAGTTGGATCTCGGGAAATCATGTGGTGGAAGGAGAGAACCAACTCCCAGAAGTTGCCATCTGACCCTCACACACGCAAGGTGGCATTCACAGGCGCGTGCTCACACTCACAGGCACAAGCACACTACACACAAAATAAATGAGTGAATTAATTAATTAATTCAGGATAAAATAATATTGCTGGCCATTAACACATGTATTCAGCGGCTGCTGTCAGGCCCTACTGTCTATCACATGGCCTTCTAAAGCAGCGATTCCCAGTCTTCTAAACTTGGGATAATCTTCAGGAAAGAGCAAGTGACCATATACCTGCAATCTCACTACTCAGCAAGCTAACAAAGAGTCTTGTGTTTGAGGCCAGTCTGCACTACACAGTGAAATTCTGTATCCAAAAAGAATGGGGGGGGGGAGGAGGAAGGGAGGACCACAGTGGGAGCCCCTCTCCAGGGTTTCTGATTGTGGGGACATCTAGGCCCTGTATTTGTGATCACGCTGCCTGATACCCTGCTGTGTGAAACCTGTTGCCTTAAAGCTAGGATGAGCAAACATCCCTTATGGTGGTTAGGTAGTAAATATGTTTGGCTCTGTGGCCCATTTCCTCTCTGGTACAAGTGTTCAACTCTGCCACTGTAGTCACAGGAACCATGTCACTGACTGAGTGTGGCTGCATTCCAAGAATATTTTATTTCAAAAACAGGTGGTATATCTGTACCTCTCCCTCCCTCAAAAAAAAATGAGGTGCAGCTCTAGAAGTTAAGAAGTTAAGCTAAAAACCAGGCCTCATTCTGGGTAGACACCTGAAAATTTGCATAGTATGAATCAGGTGGTCAGATCCCAGCTCCAACATCTATGAGCCATGTAGCCCCGGGGAAGTCACCACCATCTCTGTAAAATGAGGGTAACAATATTATAACAAGGGACAAGGAGACATGCTCACCTTTATCACAGCTAGTGACACATCTGTGAGTGTTTGGCTTGCTGTCCTTTAAATTTTTTCTTCATGATTAAAACATTCCAGAATTTTCCAACCTATGCCTCTAAAAAGGATTCATAACCATTCATTTGGGATATATTCAGCTTGGGTTCTGGATTCCAAAGCCAACCAAAAGGAGACTCTTATAAAACCAAACTCACCTTTGGAATCTGTTAGACCTCTGGTGCCCAGGTGCCTTAGAAAGTCAAAAGCCTATCATGTCTTTCTTTGTGGCTCTTTGCATGTGAGCAACACTTGCCTCCAGGAGAGGCCCAGGCTTAATGGATCTTCATGGGACTCCCATCTCCTATTCCTCTGACACTTTGCCCCTCTGTACTCTCACGGTGTTTCATGAGGATGAGACCTGTGTGTTCACATAGAGTATGGCGTTAGTCTGCAGTTCAAACAGCACACAAAGATCCTTTTGCTCAACCCTCTCCATGAAGGAGCTGGGGGCTGAGTGTGGTGGTATGAATCTTTAGTCCCAACACTGAAGAGTTGAAAAGTACTGAGACAGGAGGATTGACAGTTCAAGGCCAGCCTGGACTACATGTGGAGGGGGAGAAGAGGAGGGTAAGGAGGACAATGAGGAAGGAGGAGAGGAGGAGGAGGAGGAGGAAGAAGAAGAAGCAGCAGCTAGAACCAGCAGCCAGAATTTTTTCTTCTCTGTCCCCTGCACACTCACCCTGCATTTGGACAGCCTTCTACTAGGGTGTTCTTCTAAGCAGTTTACAAAGGTTGGCTTGTTTTGTTATTACAACTACATAAATTAGGTGGTACTGACTTCCCAGTGCAGATGAGACAGAAAGAACAAGCCATTTATCCAAACTGATGCTTCTGAGATGTATCAAAATCCAGCCAGAGACTTTAGAATCCAGGCCCTTGACTCACTGTGTCATGCTGTATATTATTTCTATTTATCAATCTGTGAGCTGAAGAACAGGAACCCAGAACAGCTTTCTGCTTGCACCCTCACACTGTTTAGTCTGCTAGAGAGCAATGAGCCTGCAGCTATGCTTGGGGAAGGGCTGCCCCAGTGGCTTTCTGGTTGTCATCTAACCACTGACATTTCCCCCAGACAAATGCACAGAATCTTTGAAGAGAGTACACCATCCAGAGGCCCCGTCAATCTCAGGGTGCATCTGATTCCGCAGCCTATCAGGATTCTGGAAGACAAGAGATTTCCCAAAGAATCCAGATCCCAGGTCATTCAGTTCAGCTTCACAAGGATACCAGACACTTTATCTCTTCTGTGCCACAGCCCTACTAAGTGTGAGGGGTCAGGGACAATAATGGTTTAAAGCACCAACATGCCCCCTTCCAGACCTTGATGACGGTAAGCTTCAGGTGACAGCTTTCATGGAACCCTTGGCATTGGAGATGTACAAATTATACACTTTAAAGTGAGGGAGCATGAGTATATGCTGTGTTAAAAGACACACACACACACACATACACACACACACACACACACACATACACCACACTCCTCTGACTCTAGGGAACAATATACAGCCTGGAACTAGCCAAACTGTGCTATGAAAACAGGGCATGAGCTTGGCTTAACCAAAACCACAGCCCTTTCATACCTGAAATGAGTGTTCTTCTCCCTCCAGGACCCCAGGAGCAAGCACAAGTTCAAAATCCACACTTATGGAAGCCCGACCTTCTGTGACCACTGCGGGTCCCTGCTGTACGGACTTATCCACCAAGGCATGAAATGTGACAGTAAGTAAGTTTTCTTTTCCAGTGGATGGCCAGGATCTGCAGCTCGTGTCTGGGTTTGCTCAGTGCCAAGGTTCCAGAAACTACTCAACAGCAGGTCACCAACAGAAAATTGGTTCAGATAAAGACCAGGCTCAAAAAATGGTGACTTGCTCTCTCCTCCTGGTTCTGGTTTATTAAAACTACTTACTTATCTAACTTTGAGCACCCCCCAAAGTTATTTGGTTTATAAATGAAGTTGGGTACTGTCCCTTTTTCAGTGTGTGTTTGTATGTCTGTGACTGTGTGTCCGTGTGGTAGAAATCTTCAATCCCTGTAAAATGCAGGCTAGTCAAACCCCACAGAAGACTCCCCACCTCCAGATTCCACATTTGGTTGGCTTCAAAATAAGCTAAGCAACCATAGTCATTATCTTCCTATGTCTCTAATTAGTGGGTGGACTGTGGAAAAATCCAGCAGGCTTCTCCTTAAAACTGAAGCTAAAGTGAGCATGAAAACCAGGGTAGCATCCTGAGCTCACTCACCCTGCCCGTTGACAAACTGATGGAATCGGTAGCAATCTAGTTAGGTATAGCATCGCAGAGATCCACTGGCATAAGGACAGGATGCCGTTTCCCTCCTCCTCCTCCTCCTCCTCCTCCTCAGTCCTGTGTGCATCCTTATCCAATACCAAAAGGCAAGAAAAACTAGCCTCGGACACTTTCTACTTTGCTAATTCTCGAGTGACGAATTTGCCTGTGCTAGATGCTTGAATAAAAATGTATACTTTTAGGGCATGAAAAGGCAGCTACCAAGCCCGTATTAATAAGTGTTAGGAAAACACCAGCGTGTTCTCATTTATTCCTAAAGACTAGATTGACCACAAAGCTTTGTATCCTGCATGGAGAAAACACAGTGTTTTGCATAAGTTAGGGTATATGAACATTAGAGCTGTGGAGAGTCTCTCAGAGCCCAGGGTTTGTTCAGGGTACCCGGCTGTGCAGGCTAATGGCCTTATCATCCAGGCCAGCAGCTCCTGTGCTTCAAGAAACCTTCAGATTCCAAACACATCATTTTCAGTGTTTCTAAAAATGGTAATCCTAAGTACATTTGTAAATGTATTTTTTAGCAATTTTAAAACTTGGAGCAAGGCTGGAAAGATGGTCCAGTGGGTAAAGATGCTTGCAATCAAGCCTGACAACCTATAGTCAATCTCTGGAATCCCCATGATGATGGAAAAGAACAGATTCCTATAGATTGTCCACTGACCTTCACACACACACACACACACACACACACACACACACACACACACTAGCACACACTAGCACAATTAATAAGTGTAAAAAAATGGAGCAAAAATGAACACTCACGTGTGTGATATATACGTGTCAACCTTGACAGAGTTAGTAAGACTGAGAAGTTTATATTGCCAGCCCCACTCAGGAGGTGGAACTTGCCATCAAGTCCCCCCATCATATGCACTCCACTGAGAAGTTTGCTGGATGAGGACATGTGCTCTTCCTACTGTTCCCACTTGCATATTCTCTTCTGGATGAAGCAAGGATTCTGGGTGCTGTGTCATTTTAATGCAATGCAGAAACAGATAAATTGCCTGAGATGCTTTCTAGCCCATTTTCTGGGGCTGTAAAAAAAAAAAAATACCTGAAATGGGGTACTTTATGAAGAAGAGGGTTTCATTTTCATCTCAGAATTCTGGAGGCTGAGAGATCCAAGGACAGGCACCAGCATGTCGTGTAGGCCTTGTTGCTACATCAGAACATGGTGGGGGGCCTCTCATGGAAAACTAGACTGAGATGCTAGCTGAGATCTCTCTTCTACTTCTAAAGCCATAATGCCACCATGGGACTCCCTCTCAACCACACTCATAGCCGCATATACTACTGCTTACCTCCCAAAGGCCCCACCTACAATTGCCATTATTAGGAATTTTGGGGGTGAACTTCCCAGCACACAAATTTTGGGGGAGGCATTTCCACCATAGCAGACATTAATTAGCCTCGCAAACCACTCATTTAGGGTTTTGTGGCCTGGTTACCCTTGAATGTCTTTGTAATAAATTATCTGCATAAATCTGAATTTAGTAAATAAACTTTTGACAACAGCATCCATCTGGTTTTATATATTAGGATTCTGCTTTAGATTTCATTTGGAAAACGTGGTCTCTATCACTAAACAATCTTGAAAGCCACTGATCCAAGTCATTGCTTATGTTGTTTGTTTGTTTGTTTGTTTGTTTGTTTGTTTGTTTGTTTTTAGCTCTTTTTTCCTTGGTCTTTGGGGCATCTAGGGTCCCTCCTGTAAGGAGGAGAATGGGCTGATGGCATCAGAATCCCAACCCTACCTTAGCAGAGATGCAGCCATTCCTATACACAGCTTGTCTGTTGTCTGACTGTAGTCTGCACAGTTCTGTCTGGTGGGGAAAAGCTAGCCACCACTGTGTCATCAGCCCTGGGTTTGTAGGGTCAGAAATGGGATCCGATGGTGCAAATGAGCTTCCCAAGATAAAAAGCCAGTTCCTAGTAGAGCCAAAACCAGAGCGCACCCCGGTGTGTGTTCAGCACACACACACCCTCCATGTTACCCACAGTCCTTCTGAGGCCCTGGCATTATCACCCTTAAATTTCACTTGTGCCCAGGTACCTGAAGATAGCTAGGGCTTGGTTAACCCAACTGACAAAAATAGCTCAAATTCTCAGGGGTCTTCTTGGCTAAGCGGGGCCTACACAGCGTCTTGAACAGGGAGCTTTGTGAACAGAAGCCGAAGGGAATCCACATCTGTGAAACCACTGCTTATCTTTTTTCTTGTGTTATTATCCAGTTTTCAGTATTTAATTATAGCAAATAGGTCTTTTTTATGACTTTTTCAAAAAACAAAAGAAATATTACCGTGTTGGGATTAAGCACTGAGAAGGAAAGGGGTAGTCTGGCCCTGCCTTGAATATTGCAGGTTCTTGTTAACATCCCAGGGAGTGTGGGTGAGGAGTCTAGGAAGCCCGAGGTAGGAAGAGGGCGGAGTCAGCACACCTACACAGCCTTGTGTTTGTAGTCAGCCCTGGGGTTCCTTCTCAGGGTTTCTTTGGTTCACAGAAATAAGACTGATCTTTTTATATCCTCGCCTACATAATGTCAGCATAAGGAATGGCTTATGCCAGGCATGTATTTGTTTTACTTGGATTAATATTTAAATATTTGAAGACAGGTTTAAAATATCAAACATCAGTTCCTTTTTTTTTTTTAGGGCAACATACCTACACCTTTTCAAAAATACCAAGTTATTTGATGGAAAGAAATTTTTTTAGTTTAATTTTTTTTTTTTTAATTTCCTATTCTCAGCCCACAGATTGCTACTTTCTTGGTGGCCAGCTCAGAAAGGCAGAAGGAATTCTCTGACAAAAAAAAAAGTATCCTCTGTAATAAATTTGCATGCTGAATACCCATGTGTATATAAACTATTAAGTAGTTAGTCTGAGCTCTGTTCACATTTACCTGTGTAGATTTTGTTAACTATTTAAAAAAGTCACAGAAGAACAACATGGGTTCTTTTGCTGTGTAGAGTCTGAATAAAGATAAGATGGATATTTTAAGGTTATTGTCACTCACAGAAGGAAGCCTGTGCGGGAAGGGACATCTGCTAACAGTTCATATCACAGGAAACATTATAGCAAGTTATCACATTAGAGGAGAACCATTGCCACTTCTACTCAGATACCAAAACATGGAGGCAGTGATGTGAGCCCATATGGGCAGCCTCACCCTTGGCTTTTTTGATTCACAGCCTGCGACATGAATGTTCACAAGCAGTGCGTGATCAACGTCCCTAGCCTCTGTGGAATGGATCATACAGAAAAGAGGGGGAGGATTTATCTGAAGGCCGAGGTCACTGATGAGAAGCTCCATGTCACAGGTAAGGCATCGTCCAGGAGATTCGTTGCCACGTTTACCACTAATTAATACATCCTATGAGAATGCTCTATACACAAGGATTTCCAAATACTCAAATGTCATGTGAAGTCTAAACCAACCTGCAGACGTGGGTGTTCTGACAGCATGGTCACCATTTTCTTCCCACCATGCCTGGGACAGGACAGCCAACTGATCAAAATGCTAATGGTAAGACCAAAGCTGGGCCAGGGAGGACAGATAGGTGGAGGATCTCGATGCTCAGTGGCCTTGGGCAGTTATGACCTGAAAATCCATCTCAGAAAATACAGCCACTGAATGTCTCCCATGCTTTCTGTGTGTCAGGTATGATGTCAGGAACTTCATATATGATATTCACTCCTCTCTACACTTGATTATTAACCTCATTTTCCAGACAAGGAACAGGGAGTTGGAGAGCTTATAGCATTGCAGAATTAATAAGTGGGACACCAAAAGGAACGCCTTTGCCTCTAAACCCTCAGCCTCTAATTGTCATGCATCCTCAACCAATGGCCCAGCCACGGTGGAGATTTCTTCTCCATGGGCTGTAACACTCTTTACTATGTGTAGAAAGGCCTTGACATAGTCTGAATTTTCTTCTGGTTTTTCCAGACTCACTTTTAGTGCATCAATACTTTCAATAAAGTTATCCTGGTATCTTGGTGGCCTAGGACCTAGCCTATGACTTCAACATGTCCCAGGCTCTCTGTGCCATACCGGGGAATGAATCCGGGGCCTTGTGTTTGCCTGTCAAGTGGTTTACCACTGAGCTAAACCCCAACCCTCCATGTGGGTTTATGTTTTAACTCTCAGCAGTCAGCGCCTTGCTCTTGGGGAGTATGTGTAAACTCTTTCATTTCCACTCATCATTGTATCAGGAAGGGTTTTATATTTCCATTTGTATTTATGGCTTTGAAGCTATCATAAGTGTTGGAAAGACTGACTTTAATGGTATTTACCTATAAACATCAAAATACATGAGTAAAAAAAGACACAGGAAAGATCTGTTTAAGAAAAGAAGGAGCCGGGCGTTGGTGGCGCACGCCTTTAATCCCAGCACTCGGGAGGCAGAGCCAGGCGGATCTCTGTGAGTTCGAGGCCAGCCTCGGCTACCAAGTGAGCTCCAGGA